GGGTCTGGGGTTTGAATTCAGGGCTTCGCAGTTGCAAAGCAGGCGCTTTACCATTTAAGCCACACCTCTAGTCTGTTTTGCTATGTTTATTTCTATTTGCCGGGGCTATTCTCGAGCCTTGATCCTCGAGTCCTGATCTCAATCTCCCAAGTAGCTAGGATTACAGGTATGAACCACCAGTGCCTGGTTTCAATCGATTTTAAGACTATAAAAGTCCGAAGACCAAGGAATTTGAGAACTACTAGTCTGTACTATTCTTTTTGGTTTTCTGTTACATCACATTCCCTCCTTTCCCCATCCCCAGCCACAAATAGAATATAATCTGTTTAAACAGATTGTAGAAACCTGCATGTGGAGACTTTTGTGTAGTTTCATACATTCTGATAAATCGTAACTGGTCAGCATACTAGCATATTGTACTAAATCAGGAAATGTGAATTCTTGTCCTAGTTCAACTAGTTATCCCTATTAGGGGATGGTGTACATTCATAGATGGGCATGGATAAAGGAAGAAATCAACACATTTGCATACCAGAAAGGCTGAGAAAATGCATACGGAGAACAAACTTTGGTAACTCTTTCAATAAGATAGGATTTTTGAAGTGATCTTTATAACAGTTATTAAGAGTTGGCCACTGGAATCAAATAGACTAATTTTGAATCTTGACATGCCTATGAGTACATAATTTCAGTTCTCATATCTTTATGTAAATTGTCTCACAGAGTTACAGTGAAGATATGAGATAAATTCACATGAAACACTTAAAATAGTGCCTTTTACTTGGTAACACACAAAAAGATTATGTTTTGGACTTTTTTTTTTTTTTTTTTGTGATACCAGGGCTTGAACTCAGGGCCTACACCTGAGCCACTCCATCATCCCTTTTTGTGTTAGGTATTTCCAAGATAGGGTCTGGCTTTGAACCACAATCTTCCTGATCTCTGCCTTCTGAATAACTAGGATTACAGGTGTGAGCCACCAGTGCTCTGCTGTTTTGAACATTTTTAGTAGTTACTATATACTTATCTGCTGCATGTAACTTATTTTAGAATTAACCAATTTCAATAAATAATAAGTGATGCACAATAAATGTTTAAAGGTACAAATGTTTATAAAGTGAAAATTCAGTCTTTTTCATCCCCCCTGTTTCCAGGCTCCTCTGCCTGGCAACAATCATGGATAGAAGGTTTTTGTGTATACTCCCAGAGCTGTCCTACATATACAAGTGTATGTGTGTGTTTGTTTTCTTAAAAGCACAGTCGTAATGATTATGTTTAGTGTGCGCTATTTTGAACATTGTTTTTTGCCCCTGTATTTCTTGATTACCATTCTTCATCAGTATACATAAAACTGCCTCATTCTTTGTAACAGGTGCTTAATAACCTGTTGTAGATACATATCACAATATATTTACTTATAACCATTTTTTCTATCTTTTGCTGTTAAACAGTGCACCAGTAAATTCTGTATTGTATGCCATGAATGGTATTTTTTAATCTTGGATTGGACTGGTTTGATTCTTTTTTTTTGTTGTTTTGGTGTCTCACTACTCCCCCAGCCTTTTTGCTATAGTTATTTTTTCCTTTTTTTTTTTTGTTTGTTTTGTGAAATTATATTTTATTGTCATTTTGTAAAGTATATAATCCAGGCCTTTTATACTGCTTTTTAAAAAAGTATTGTGCTGGGTGGGGGTACATTGTGGCATTTACAAAAGTTCTTACAATGTATGAAATATATCATACTTGAATTCACTCCCTCCACTGCTCTTCATCCTCCTCCATCACTTGCTTTTTGCCTGGGTGGCCTTGAACAATGATCCTCCTACATCCTGCATAGCTGGGATTAAGGTGTGTGCCACTATGCCCAGTCTCTTTTTGAAATAGTATCTCATTAACTCTTTTGCCTGCACTGGCCTGAACTGCAATCCTCCTGTCTCCACCTACCTGTAATTCCAAGCATCTGGAATTACATGTATAAGCTCCTGAGCCTGACCTTCATGTAGCAGTTCTTGAGAATTGCATTGGAGTCTTCAAATGGACTGTGTGTAGCTGCACATTTGCCATTTCTTTTTGGTTTTAGTCGAGTTGTTCAACTAACTTAAAAATTAATTTAATGTTAATCAATATTAATGCTTATTAGATTAATTATTTTTACTTTTGTATTTCTTACTATATAATTAGTTCCCATTAGTACACAAATTATATTTTCCATGAGTATTGTGAAACAGGCTTTTTTAACATTAGTATTGTTGTACCAGGGTCACAATGTGACATTTACTAAAGTTCTTACAATATATCATAGTTGAATTCACCCCCTCCATCATTCTCCTTTATTCCTTCTTCCTCCATTACCTGGAATAGGTGAAACAGGCATTTAAAGATGTGGCTTCAATATGCTTCCATTCCCTCTTGGCATTGTAACTAAAATAGCTCTGGTAAGGGATCACACTCTCTAAACGTAGGCTTGCTGTAGTGCAAATCAAATGAGACAATAAGTATATAGCTGCTTTGAAAACTTAAAACATTATTCAAATCAAGGTGTACTAGCAATGTTTTGTTATATTCAGAAAGCTTTCACGAAGAACAAACGACTTTTTTTTTGCATACTGTGATTTGAAATTGATGGTTTTTAAAGAGGTTTGTCCACATGGAAAAGCTAACATGCTGTGAAGAGTAAAGGAAGACATCAGTCTTTATCAGATCAGTGAATATCCAAATTACATTGAAAAATTATATTACATGTAGTACAAAGTCTGTCATCCTAAGCTTCTGCTTATTATCTTAGGTATAGCATACTCTTTTATTATGTGCCATAACTAAGGAAGGAAAATAGACAAGATTTTTAAGTTTTTATTTCTTGGTCTGATGTTTCAAAATGTAATCGTTTGTAAACTGCTTCAATGCTGCACAAGTGAATAAAGCATCATCAGGAGATGACTTTCCAATCAGCTTGATCTTGGTGATCGTTTCCCACCACTTACGTGGCACGTATTCCTAGGAATTGCATGACTAAGAATTCTCTAGCCTGTCAAAAGGAAATTTAGGAATTTAAGGGATGCCAACTTTCAGGAGCTGAAATTCTGAGAAATTTATCTTCCTTTGGTTTATAGACAGTATGCTGGCTATGACTACACACAGCAAGGCCGATTTGTCCCTGCAGACATGATGCAGCCACAACAGCCGTACACTGGACAGATCTTCCAGCCAGCTCAGGCATACACTCCAGCCACACCTCAGCCATTCTATGGAAACAACTTTGAGGATGAGCCACCTTTATTAGAAGGTAGTATTTGATCATGCAGGTTGAATATCCTTTATGTGAGGTGCTTGGGACAGAAGTGTTCCAGATTTGGAATGGTTTGTCTGAATGTTGGAATATTTTCATAGACTTTACTGTTCAACATCCCTAATCTGAAAATCTAAAATATTCTAAAGTCCAGATCTTTTTAAAATTAACATTAGTGTTCAAGTATTCAAAAAGTTTGGAGTTTTAGAGCATTTCAGATTTTAGATTTTCAGATTAGAGATGTTCAATCTGTACTCTGTAATATCCAACTGGTCACTTAAAAGAAAAGTATTAATTTGGAGATGTTGTCCTTTCTTTCAAAAGAACAATCTTATGCTGGGTTCTGATGACTCATACCTCTAATCGTGCTACTTCAGAGACTGAGATCTGAAGGACCACAGTTTAAGGCTAGCCCTAGCAAATAGTTCCAAGATCCTATCTCCAAAGTAACCAGACCAAAATGGACTGGAGGCTTAGTTCAAGCAATAGAGCACCTGCTTTGAAGCACAAAGCACTAAGTTTAAACCCAGTCTTATCAAAAATTTAAAAAAATAATCTTGTGGAAAAAAAATGAGTTTCCTACTAAGTCATTTTGAATAGTGTATGTGAAATGACATTGAGCCAGAGAAGACCAGATGTTTAATAAAGTGTGTCAATCTGTGAGCATTGGCTTGTAGTTCAGATCATTAAATTCTACGAATAGAAAAAGTAAAAGGAAATAGCATATTTATTATTCTGTATGAAAATAAACTAATAAAACTTTTGACATTACTTAAAAAAGATGGTGGTTTTCAAATTGTACTCCAAAATTCTATAAGACAGTAGCTCTGATTTTTTTTTTTTTTTGGTACCAGATGCCCTTTTAAAGTCTAATAAAAGCTAGGAGTACTCTCTTCAGACAAATGCACACATATGCATATGGACATAGTTTTATATAAAATTTCACAGGGACCCAAGTATTTCTGATGCATCAGGTAAAGAACCCCTTACTATTAAACCTGCCTGTGTTTTTTTACTGTATAGTCATAGCTGAGAGATGTAATGAGTGTCTGTTTCATCATATCCATACCCTTCTCCAACAACAAATCTGAAGTTACATAGTTATAGGAGAAGCACCACAAACACTGAAGACTGGAAGGACTCTCTATAAAGTATTATCTTTGATTATTGCTACATTCTGTTTTGATTCTGAGTGTTTCATTGTGCCTCCTAACATAGATTCTGGTAAATTAAAAATATATCACAAAAATGTTCTTTTCTTTTAGAGTTAGGTATCAATTTTGACCATATCTGGCAAAAAACACTAACCGTGTTACATCCACTAAAAGTAGCAGATGGCAGCATCATGAATGAGACTGATTTGGCAGGACCTATGGTTTTTTGCCTTGCCTTTGGAGCCACCTTGTTACTGGTAAGATTTTTGTTTTATCTGTCAGTGTGAGATTACAGAAGCATCTTTAAGTATGTCACCATCCATTTTTTTTAAGACTGCTATACTTCAAGACTTTGATGTGTTTTAAATAGTATTAAGTTGCTTGAATTTATATCTATTCATTATTTTCTTCATCAATAGTAAATACTGTGTAACATATTTAAAAAGTAATTTCTTGTTCAAAGAAGTATTCCAATTTGGGGAAAATGAGCAGAAAAATAACTTATGCCTTAAATCACCTATCAGAAAAAATAATTGCATTTTTATTGTAAATCTCTAGACCTTGGTCATTGTTTTGGTGATGTGCTGAGGATTATTATCCTGTACATTCTTACTATTAATGAATTAAAACATTAATTCATTAAAGAATGCTGAAGTACATTGAAAGCAAAAAGAAATATTGCAAAGGTAATTATTACCTTATATCTTTGAATTGCAAAAGATAAATAATGTTATTGATAGAAGATGGTATTTTTAGTCAGAAGACCTGGACTTGAACTCAGTGTTCCTACTTTGCCCTTGACCAAGCTATTTAATCCTTTAGATCCCTCTGATATATAATAATTCTCTGCTACCTGCCTAACAGAATTGTTTTGAAGTTAAAACAGGACATGTTTTGTGAGAACACGTTGAAAAGTTGAAAGTACTATGCAAGTGAGGTTTTAATATCACTGCATGGATGAGTTAATTCATCAGTGGACTCAGCTGAGCTTTTTCAGATTTTTGTATGCCGAATCAAGCATTTACAAGTAAATAGTAAGGGTACCAAATCCCAAGGACTTTTTCATTTACCATAATCTGTAGTCATTCTCAAGACTTCATATATGACAATCTAACAAACCATTGTCTTTTTGAAGGTTTCTCTGTAGATGGTTTTAGTGATATTGTGACTTGAATCCAGTGTTTTTTTCACATAGCTTACTTAGGTAGTTCTAATTTGCTAATCGTTACTGTCCTAAAACTGTTAAATGATGTCTTTACAAGAGCAGATTTCTTAAGATTTATTTTTTGTCAAAGGATTGTAAAAATTAACCAACAATTTGGAAAAATAAAGAAAGAAAAAAAATATTGTCCATTATAGTCCTCATGTTTTTTCCCCTCTCTCCCACAGAGCCCTGACTTCTTTCTTATCCTGGCTTGTTTTCTCCTAGCTCTTCTAACACCCATGTAAAGTGGATAATAAAATTATTTCTGTGTTAGAAAGATCATGGCTGCAAATGAGAATCGTGCCTGTGCATATTAGGTGGAGGTAGAATTAGGTGCTTTTGAGTGATGCCAGCAATTACCCAAATGTTCTGAATGGCTTTCCATCTTGTCTTCATAATTTATTTATGGAGAATCAGGCAAAGTTCTTTTCAGAAATAAACTGAAAAGAACTGATTTGGGCCTTTATTTTTTCAACTCTGTGCCAAACTGAAATACTAGGCAAAGGTAAAACCAAATATCTGTGTTTTGGGAGGCGATAAATTTCAGAAGGATGTAAAATCTAGTCATCTTTGTTACTTCCCTGTAGATTTTTATGCTCATGAATTGAATATCTTCTACATGTAACCATTTTAGATGAAGTAAGTATAAATATAACTTATTTTTTTCACTTGGACCTGTTTTCTTTTCTTACCTATAGGCTGGCAAAATCCAGTTTGGCTATGTATATGGGATCAGTGCAATTGGATGTCTAGGAATGTTTTGTTTATTAAACTTGATGAGTATGACAGGTGTTTCATTTGGTTGTGTGGCAAGTGTCCTTGGATATTGTCTTCTTCCCATGATCCTACTTTCCAGCTTTGCAGTGATATTTTCTTTGCAGTAAGTATTGATCTTTATATTGGGGTTTGATTGACCAAATCTAATAGGATTTACCTCACCTTCAGTTTGAGGTAAATCCCTAATTCAGCAAACATGTCATATCTTGCCTCATGTAGGTGAGGACTGACTGTTCTACATGTTTTGGGTGATAGGAAAGTGAGAATAAGTTTTAAAATCTTTATTCTATCTCTGTTTTAACCATGATCAAGAATTTCACTAGATTTGTGTCTATCAGTATAATAGCAATAATAAATAGAACAGTTGTGATTATTAAATAATACATGGAAAAGTTTGTCATTAGTGTGAAAATTATGCTTACCCTCCTTTTTATGCTTTAGACCATGTCAGGTTTCTTTTCTTTTTTTTTTTTTTTTTTTTGT